GTTATGGTCTTCCTATCTGTGGTATATTGTGTTATCTGTTTTTCATGGTTATGATCATGATCTTGGCATGTATGTTGTTGATACACAAGTGTTAGTTGAGTATGAGCACTGCGGCTCGATGGGTATTCCATGTGGATCAGGGTTTGGATTGGGTCACGCATCGTAGCAGAGTTATGTTGGGATATTATCTTTATGCTTACTTCATGGGTTTTGCTTCTCCCTTGTGAGTTGGGTTCATAACATCGTATTTTGTGGTGGTATTTGTTGAACTTGTTGGGTAGTTCTCTTGTTTGGCTCTCCTTCTATCTTTGTTATATTCGAGTTGTTGTTTGTTGGAGGCATGGATTGTGTCGTGTGTGACTAGGTCGCATTTCATGTGGCTTTTCGGTTGAATAGCTTGTATTGGATAAGATGATATCATTGGATCTGGAATTAGTGCAGTCGGACTTGGATAAGGTATGTTTGGATAAGAATGTCATTAATCAACTTAGAGTTTGGCAATAGTCCTTGTTGTGCGAGAGAATTCCACGACTTGTTAATTGGGTGAGTGGTTATGAGTTTTTACATGCTTCTTGCATCATTATAAGCGTTGTGAAGGTTTAATACAAGGTTTTACTTGATATGAGGTTTGTCACCGGTACTGGGTTTGGTTACAAGCAACTACTATGGTCAGAAGGTATTGTGATGGGCATATGAGCGACGAGTTACGTTGTATGGTTATATCTTGGGAAAATATTTATGATTTTCTACAACTTGTTGAGATTGATGTAATGTGTATACGCGAGAATCAGATCATATCAGGATTTTTAAATGTTGAAATTTAGTTTTAAGGTTGATGAATTAAGGTTGAAGAAAGAATCTTCGAACGGGATTATGCTAATGGATTTTTACGGATTGCGGTGACATAGGATATCCCTTGGGTATGTGTATGGTGGGTTTATATATAATGATTTGATGGATAACGACTCTTGGCACGTTCGAGGACGAACGCATATTTAAGTGGGGGAGAATGTAATGACCGATCGGTCATTTTGAGAATTTGCATTTCCGTTCGGTGGTTTGAGGTCGTGAGTGGCTTCATATAATGTATTATAACGTATGTTTATGGTCGGTTTTAGTTTTTGAGTGGTTCGGAATTGATTTGGAAAAAAAGATTCTCATTTAAGAGCTTTAAGTTGGAAAAGTTGAACAAGTTTGACTTTTGTGTAATTGACCTCGGATCAAAGTTTTGATGGTTATGTTAGGTCCAGATAGTGATTTTAGACTTGGGCGTATGTCTGGATTTCCATTTGGATGTTTATAGAAGGTTTAGGCTCTATTTGGCAAAAGTCGACAATTTAAAGGCTTGGAAAATTTTATAAGTTTGAACGTGAGTTGAATTTGGGGCTATTGGGTTCGAATTGTTATTCCGGGACTTGGATGGGGTCCATTTTGTCATTTGAAACTTGTGTGCGAAGTTTGGTTTTATTCCGAGTTGATTTGGCAGGATCCGGACGTGTTCAGTGAAGTTTGAAGGTTTGAAAGTTAAGAGAATGATCTTGATCTTTGATTCTGGTTTTGATGTTATCTATGATTTTATGAGCTTTCGGATAAGTTTGGATAATGTATTTGGACTTTTTCGCATGTTTGGACGGGGTCCTAAGGGGCTCGGGTGCGTTTCAGACCATTTTTAGGACCTTTTCAATTGCTGATTTTTTGCTACATGGGTGTGAATCGTGATCGCGAACCTCTGGTCCGTGTTCTCGAAGAGTAAATTGATGTTTGGGTCTTGTGAATCGCGATCACGGTGGCCTTGTTCACGATTGCCCGGAAGAATTTTTTGTTGCCACTGAGCTGACTTCCAAAGTTTATATCTTGGAATCCATAAGGAATTTGAAAAAGATTCAAAAAAGAAAATTATAGTTCTTTGTGTCTAGTTTTTAGAAAAATAAACCATTTATTATTTGGAGTTTTTTTTTGTAGAAAGTTAAGGCTATTATACTAGAGGTTATCTAGAAGAGTTGAGCAGGTTTGTTTGAATTTGTTCATCGCGATCACGGAGGATCTTGGCCGCGATCGTTAAGGGTAAAATCATGCTAAGCATTTTGTAAACCGTGATCGCGAGAATAGTAACCGTGATCGCGAAGAAGGAGCCCTGACATGGGTATTTAATGCCTAATTTCGAGATTTTGAACTCATTTTCAAAGATTTTAAGGCTTAGGAAGCGAACCAAGGCAACTTTGGAGATGGATTTCACCCAAATCATGAGGGTAAGTGTTCTAAAATTGATTTTGATTATATATCATAAATTTTTATGGATTTCTACACCTAAAACATGGAATTTCAAAGTGAAATTTGAGATTTTTGGCAAAAACTTTTCTAAACATCGATTCTAGGTCGGATTTAGATGAAACTTATATCGCTGGACTCGTATTCGAATGTATCATTGGAATTTGTGAGCTTTGTTGGGTTCCGGGTGCGTTCCTTGATTGACGTTTTGGTTGACTTTGAGTATTTGATAAAAAAATTCGACCTTTATCATTTGGGTTTATTTTCTATGGCATTATTTAATATTTTTGAGTTGTTTTTGGCTAGTTTCGAGTCATTCGAAGGTCGATTCATGCGGGATGGAGCTTCTAGATTATCGATTTGACTTGTTTGAGATAAGTATCTTACCTAAACTTGGTTGAGGCACTAGTTTCCTGAGTTATTTGTGATAGCTACGTGCTATGGGTAGCGCACATGCATGGGGTTGAGCCCATGTGCATGCACCGGGGTATTTTTCATGCTCGAGGTAGTGTTTAGGCTATGACATGCCTTGGATTGATTGTTAAGCTTTATACTGTGATGGTTGTTATATTTGTACCCCTATTGTGAGCTATTTGAACCATGTTTGAGGTTACATAGAGGTTAATCTCCTCACTGAACCTGATAATTACTACTTTCATGATGTATTTGCCTTATTTGAGCTATGACAGCACATTTTGCACATGCATACACATTAGCATGCCACTTATACCAGTCCAGGAGTATGAAATTTGATGTTCATTGATCATATGCATGTATTCTTGTATATCTGCTTTCTGTGTTATATGGATTGGACTGGTAGCACGTGACCACGTTGTGCGAATTATGATATTGAGCATGTGACCACACCATGCGGATTATGATATTGAGCTTGTGACTACGCCGAACGGATTGTGATATTGAGCATGTGACCACACCATGCGGATTATGATATTGAGCTTGTGACTACGCCGAACGGATTGTGATATTGAGCATGTTACCCCACCGGGTGGATTGTGATATTGAGCATGTGATCACGCCGGGCGGATTGTGATAGCGCGTAAGTTATCCGTGCAGCGTGTGGATACGGATCCATTCCCCTAGGGTCACCCTCTCATGTGCCTTCTTGATGGTATACACGCAGATTATGAGAAACCAGCGGATTTCTGATTGATGTGTACTTTGGATAAACTTATGAGTTATTTGGTTCGGTTATTAATATTCTGATGTGGGCCTTAGAATCGTATTGTGATTTCTATTTGGATCGGGTTGCACGGCGCAACAGATTGATATTTGGTTATTGTATTTCTCTACTTGCAATTTTCTTGGATGTATACATGATTTTTGATACATCTCTTCTCTATTTGCTAGCTTCGGGTTGTATACATGCCTTTGTGCGTATCTTTTTTATATGCCACCTTATTCGATGAGATGAGACACGGTACATGTCTTCTCTATATGTGAATCTGTGTGACTTGACTTGTTTAATCACACATATCTTCTCTATATGCAAGTTTGATGATTTAATGATATGAGATGCATATCTTCTCTATATACTGAATTGTTAACTGAAAAATAGGATGTTACATTATCTTTAGGCACCAAGGAGGCTTTATTTGTGATAACTTGATAACATTTGTTTTTGTGTACTTGTGAGATATATGAATTGAATAGGTTATTAGCGAGTATCATTTATAATTCTTGCCATTATTACCTGTCGAGGTTAGTTATGATACTTGTTGAGTACATGGGGTCGGTTATACTCATACGACACTTCTGCACCTTACGTGCAGATTTTGGAGCTGATGTTGATGTTTATGGAGGGAGTTGGCATTGAAGATGTACCTGCCTTCCAGATATAGTTGTCATTTGTCCTTGGTAGTTTTTGATTTGTAGTATGTTTATGTACATTGCAAACATATGTTGTATTTATTTTCATACCAACTTTGTAAATCTAAGTCTTAGTGGCTCATAACTTGTACTACCAATCCTAGGAGCGGAGCTAGCCCTTCCGATACGGGTTCGGCTGAACCCAGTAACTTTTGTCCAAATTTTGCATTTATATTAAAAAGAATTATGTACAAATTATCAATTTAGAACCCAGTAACTTGAAAGAATTTGAATACTGAACCTATAAGTTTCAAATCATGGCTCCGCCTCTAACCAATCCTAGGGTTATTGCATAGAATTTCAGTTATTTCACTTATTGATTCCTTATTATTATCATTAGAGTTGTGGACTATTGTTTGGCTTGCCTAGCGGGTTGGGTTAGGTGTCATCAAGACTAGGTAGATTTTGGGTTGTGACAGTTACACAATGTTTGGTTAGTTTTTTCTCTGTTTACATAAAACATAGCATTGCTAATACAATGTTTCTATATTACTAATCCTTACATAATTAATTTTTGCATAATTAATCCACACATAACTAATTCCTATATAACTAATTCCAACATAACTGAATCCTGTATAACTAATTTATGTATAACTAATTACTGTATAACTAATCCAAACATAACTAATTCCAACATAACTGAATCATGTATAACTAATTACTATATTACTAATACATGTATAACTCTAGCTAACCACCAAATGACCCGTTAAGTGTGTAAAAGCTAGTGAGCTCTCCCACTAACACGAAAAAAAGAAAGTGAAAAAAGGGAGGGTGTGACAAGGGCCAAAAAGGAAATAATAGTGATACAAAAGTGAAATAGAGGGAGAGTGGGACAAGGGCCAAAATGGACACTGATACACAGTTGCTTCATATCATAGCGTCACAGTCCACTTTGTACATGGCGGCACCATTATCCATAACAACTTGAACATTCCTCAACAGCGAAATACTCTCAATTTAACCATAACGCCCAATCAAACTTCCCCAAAAGAAAAAATGGAGGCAACCTCAGTGCTCAGCTCCTCTTCTACTTCCTCTTTTCCACCTTCACACATTCTCTTATCTTCCTATACCTCAAAACCCCATGTGGGGTTTATCTTCAATTCTTTATCAAAATGCACTTCTGCTCCTCGTTTGCTCTTTTCTTCTTCACACCAAAGTAATGTTTACACTAACAGCAACAGTAGCAGATTCTCTCTGCTTCGCCTTTCAGCTCTTACTGTTGAAGAAGCTGTTGAACAATCCACTGATACTTTTTCAGTGCAGCCCAAAATTGATAAGAGTGGCAGATTTTGTAGTCCTAGAGCCGCCCGAGAACTCGCTCTGTATGTCCTTTTCCTTTTCCCCCCTTTGTATAACTCGTTTTGTTTAATTCAACGAACTTCTTTAGTAAAAATTTAAACTGTTACAAATAAGTCAATGTTATCCATTTAATTAGGTTGTTGTTTTATTTTTTTAAACTAAGTAGATGAAGAAGGCCTAGTCTTTACACCAAGCGAATCAATACATGACACATATTATTGAACCGTAGTTAATTAATACATATTCTCACCTTAACTTATCAATTAACCATGTTAAATTAGTTGGTTTTGGTGTAGACACCTAGTACCTAGTGTCGGTAAGGTTTTACCTTGCAACCACTTCATTAGTTTTTTTTTTTTTTTCTTCCATTCATTAGGTTTGCAGCACATTCTTAACGGGTGGACCTAATTTTATTTTCCAAGCACGTCAAAATATTTTTTCTTTATGGTAGTTATAAGACTGGAATTTCGGACTTATGCCCGCATTGATACCATGTTAGAATGTCATGCTTTAGCGCGATGCATTGCTTTTATAGAACAAATTAGCATAACAGAAATAAGTTTAAAATAATCATACAATAACACCACGATTATTAAAAAAAGTTATAATAATGTAAATACATTTTTACTTAACAGTTACATGGAGCAAATGACAGGTTTAATTCTGTTGCATATTCTTGTCTTAGGATGACAATATATGGGGCATGTTTGGAAGGGTCAGGCCCTGTTCGCCTTTTTGAGAAACGGATGAACATTAGAAGAGGTAATGGCTTGTTCTATTGGCTCCTTTTCTAATTTTAAATAAATTGCAGATTAACTTACGTTTCTTTTAATTCTTTAGCTAACAATATTTGATTCTGGTGTGTAGAACCGGGATATGAATTTGATAAAGAGTGGTTAGTTAAGTACAATCACATGAGCTTTGGAGGCCCCCCTGTGAAAACTGAGACAATTGAAGAAGCTGATGAACTTCTGAAGAATGATGAAAATGATTCTGAAATAGGTATTTACATGTCTGGTTTTAGCTTACTGCTTCATATGGTTGCTACTTTGTCTTACTTTAGTTTTCTCTATGGATGGTTAACTTGAGGATAATATCTTTACTCTGTTATAATCTTATGATCTCTTCTATAATCATATAATCTTGTAATCTTATGATCTCTTCTATCAGTAGCATTGTAGCTAATTTTCTCTTAAGTGTCTGATTTGAAGACTAGGTTTTGAGCGGAATGACAGAGCCTGAATAATTACCTATTTTAGACTTGCAGCCTGAAGTTGAGACTTAAAGTGCGACATTATTTCTTGGTCCCTTATGTTCCTTCACAGTGAATATTTTGTCCTTGGTACCAAAGATGTACGAATTGACCACTGCTTCTGCACATACAAATTGATTCATTCATATTTGGATGGATCCACTACAAGTCAAGACTAACTAATTAATCAATGCCTATCTATACTGACTTTTGACTATGTTGTAGAATATGCATTGACATTCTCCTATTGTAATGTAATGATGAGTTCACTGCGCAGTCCATCATATGCACGGCATTTAAAATGTTCTTCTTAGGGGAGGATAGTCTTTGAGATAATAACCTGAATAGTTCTTCATGTATGTGCCTAACCTATAGCACAAAAAGTATTATTCACCAATATATAGTGGCAGTGGGGTGATAATTAGAAATGAAGTTGACTTCCCTCCAAAAAGATTAAACAAAAAATAAGGGCAATATGCGACCTAAATAGCACACTAGTAGCAAAGTTGACTTCTCCTTATCAAAAGAAAAAAAGAAGCAGCACAGTTGACTTCAAACTCTTTTAAGGGTATGGCTGTTTGTACTATTAAGGGGTCAATTGGTTATCATGGAAAGAAGTGAATAATAATGAGTAAGATAGTGCATGGTAATTTTAGAACCTACAGTCTTTCTTCCCATTTCCTACTTTCCTATCCTTCAAATCAATTCACCCCTAAGGCAACAAGTTTTGAACATCCTCTTCTTTCTACTCCAGCTTTTTAAGATTCCATTCAATGAGGCACACTACAAACAGCTGGAGCCCATTTTGGCATTATTAGCAAACTCCGTTCTTGTGCTGTCTGCTAGTTATTGATATTCCTGCCTCCGTTAAGGGGCTAATTCAGTTATTTGGCCTGCACGGCTTCGTTCATCTCAGTCATCACTTCAGTCATTCCACCCGCAAACTTTCCGGTTGGCGTTGATAGGTACCTAGTCATAGTGTTGCTTAAGAAGTTATTCCTGTACATGTGTTTCATGGATGGATATTTCCGTTCTATAGTTTTATTTTTCTGTGAGGAGGGTCCCACTAGACCCTGAAGTGTCCTTAGTTGCTTGCCTTTTAAGCTGTCAAGCCGGTGAATTCCTTCTGTGTTTCGGACATTTGATTCTTGCTGAAGCTGTTTAGACATCTAGAATATCGTTGATTGGATGTGTAGAGTAGGTTCAATAATGCAACTATGAACCTTCTAAACTAGTGGAGTTGAATGACTTGTAGCATAGGATGAATAAGTATACTACCTAACCCAATAGTTGAAGCCCTGAAACCCGAGGTGTCAGCTTTTTTCCTCCTAACAAATGCTCTTATCAAGGAAAGAACTAATGATTCTAATGTGCCAAGGATTCTCAGAGAATTTAGTCAACTCAATAATTGATACACAAGTGTTTGATTTGGTTCTGCTATTTGTTTTTTCAGGCTTTGTTTTTTATTACTTCTTGGAGCTGTCTCCTTTATTAACTTTTGATTCGTAAGTTCTAGAGAAATGTTTTGAACCTCTTTCCAATTAATAAAGCATTAGTTACTATTTGGGAAAGTTTTTGGAAGTCCTTTTGATCTACTAAAAACTTTTTGATCCCCAACAAAAATTCCTCGTGAAGCTGATTGCTTTATGAGGGCTTCTAAAAATACTTCTCTAGGAACTATTTTGCAAGAAGCCACATAAGACTATTTTTTTCCTCCAAAATGATGTCTATAGTGAAAGTTAACCAGACATGTTTATATGCTTCTTTAAAAATGAAAAAAGAGCTAATCAAAAAGGAAAAATTGCAAAGAGAAAGCTCTTCAAAAATGACTTTCTGAAAAAGAAAAAAAAAGGAAGTACTTTGATTAACAATATGTCTACTCAGAATAATTACACATATGAGCAAAATGAACATGATGGGTAGGACCAAACTGCCACCCTTGTTTTGCTCCACCCCTAGCTCAAATCCAGTACATGCACATGAAGGATAAAAGAACATTTTATTCAACAAAAGTTCATCTGCAGAAGATTGTATTGAGGTCTAGTTCCGCCTCGTGGTGGAATAACGTTCTGAAGTTTTTTTTCTTCCTCAATTTCCTGGGAGATTGGTTGCGCCTTCATACTCCGAAGTCCTATCCCCTCATAGATGCTAGATACATTGTTGCATTTTAGTGATATTGTCATTACGCTATGTTGTGGTCAATGTTTTTTAGTACAAACATATGAACTCAAAAATTCTTTCTCAAATATTAAAAAATGTGGAAAATTTTCTCTCTCTATCTTTTTCCTTTTTAGCTAATTTCTATATTTGTCCATTCAATCCAATAATGCATTAATTTATTTTCTCTCTCTCTCAGAAGCTGAAGTTCTCTCAGCTCCACCAAAGTTGGTGTACAGCAAACTTATTTTGCGGTAAGCTCATTAATCATATATGACTCCTTATGCAGCTTACAGTTTCTACTTTCTTCAGAGTATGGACAGGCATGGATAGACTGGTAACTTTCTTGAATCTTTGCAGTTTCTCACGGAAACTTTTGGTGGCAGTTGAAGAAAAGTGGGATAATAATGTGCTCGCAATAAATAAAGTGGCAGCCGATAATTGGAAGGTTGGATATGTTACTTATGCTTTTATGTTCTTGCTTGCTGGACACAAAAGTGATAGGACCATAAAATTCGGGATTCTTTCTTCCATGAACCCACACAACCACGTTCTGCCACCAGTCCCAACTCCTTAGAATGACATTCAGATTGAATCGATTGAAGATGATCAAAAGAACATTCTCCCATTTCTGCTTCTACATGAATGTATAACTAAACATGCAGTTCACTCAAAATCTTGCGCTGCTTGTTCCTCTAAGGGAGCCTCAGTATCTACTTTCAGAAAACTCTTTTGATACTATAAGTGGAATAACGCAATATCAGTCCTTCAAATGAATGAAGAAATTACAATATGATTTCTTGATTAACAAAAAGTCACTTGTAGTGTGTCATCCTGGATGTACAAATGTGGACAAGCTTGAGTTATAAGAAAATGTTCAAGTTTGGGAGATTTTATATTTGAAAGACACCTTTGGACTAAAAGTGGCTAAAAAAGTAGATTGTCTCTTGCACTTCTATATATATATATTTTTTTGTTTTCTTTTTCTTTTTAGTTAATCTAGTTTCCAATATTTTTCTGCAATGGACCTGTCTAGTCCCTCTGCCAAGTTAGCCTACCAAATTAAGTGAAATAGCGCAATTCCACTTGCATTGTCCTGCTCCCTTTCTCACCATCTTGCCAAGCACTTTCAAACTATCTACACGCTGAGTCGGGGTTATGCAATATGAGGGAGCGGTTAGGATATAGTGAAGGAGGCAATGAAAGAAAAGTTGAGTGGCAATGAGAATCAATGAGGCTGTTAAACTTCTGTAAGTTGGTCAACTTGGTGGGTTTGTATTGCATGAATTCAAGATTAAATGAGCTGTAAATCAAATACAGTTCAATGGCCAAAATTGACATCTGCCTGCAGATTCTGTTGGGCGATGATAGGAATTTAATCCGCTTACTTCTGCTGTGGTGTGATTGTTGGGTGCGGGACAGGAAATAAGATATGAATTCTAGCAACAAACAAGCTTTCATTTGAATTCAAGTGAAAAGAAACGATTTACAATTTATGAATGCTTTTTATGAGTAGATGGGTCAAGAGATCTGCACTTGTGTAAAAGCTAGGGATGTTTAATCTTTCATTTTGACTTTATCGTCCTGGAGTTGTTTGTGTTTTTGTTTTGTGAATAGTCTGTCAGGTTCAGATAGAGGTTGGACTTTTTGTTGGTATCTTCAGATGACAGAATTTGTTAATACGCCAGTCACTAATGCTTGAATTCTTCTTCCAGAATGAGCCAGCAGGCAGGATCCTGGAGCTCTCAATTCTTCATTTATCAATGGCTGAAATATCAGTATTAGGAACACGGCATCAGATAGTCATCAATGAGGTAATTTTTCTCTCTCTTAACATTTTTTTGGACTAATCGAGTCTTGAATAACTAGACTACTTACCCTCCCCATTCCCCATGCCTGAAAATCTGAGGGGCAAAGTATTTCTTCTTGCTTCCTTGTCCATACTTTCTGTTAATTAAGATTGGAAGAGTATTTCAATTGAGGCTGATTAGGGTGGAAGAAATAGAAATAACGAAGTAGTTCAAAAGACAGGAAGGGAGGCTAAGCCGTGAAAGTAGAAATAATGAAGTAGTTCAAAAGACTGGACGGGGGGCTAAGCTGTGAAAGTAGAAATAATGAAGTAGTTCAAAAGACAGGACGGGAGGCTAAGCCAAATATGTGAATGGTTTCATTATGATTCCACTTATGGATTTGAGACGACTTAAAATTCTCTCTTTTTGTTGAGTTCCCTATATATTCCATGACACTTGCACACAACAATAGTCCATCATCAATAGAGGCGAAACTAGGATCTAGAGTGAGTTCAGAATGAGAGTATCCTTTTATATGTATACATTTAATTGTGCATCCATATATACATAGCTCGAGTAGAAGGTAATGGTTTTAGTTGAACCCGCCTTACCCTGTAATTTCTTTCCTCATCTTTCGATCCCACTCATCACTTAACTGTTTTTGTCTATTAAGCACTCAATTAGCAGTTAAACTAAACAATATCATTCTCCCATTCTTGAAGGCTGTTGACCTTGCTAAACGATTCTGTGATGGGGCGGCACCCCGTATTATCAATGGTTGCCTCAGGACATTCGTAAAGGATCTTGAACGAGCAAATGCCCGAGCTAACCAGTCACTGTTTACTTGATACGTCCAAGATCTCAAGAATTTGATGAATACTCAAAGATGAATATCTTCAACCTACAGGAGACACTCTTTCTGGGCATTCCTTGCAAAGCCATGAGAAAGAGATCAGCAATGCCTTGAGATGCAGCTCCCGGACACATTTGTGCGCTCATCCAATATAAGAAAGAATTGTATATCAAGATGTTAGGCATTGCCAACGTTCAACTGTATGGTTAATAGTCATGTCTATCCTGAAGCAATGTATATTGTATCACACTATTTAATTAAGGCTTAGAGCCTTTGACTTGGAATTTCAGTTTGTAATAGCTTTTTACAGAGTCAATATATGACTGGTTTAAGGTTCGAAAATAAAATTGAAAAAATAATAAGTTTGTCATACCAAGCACACTATTTAAAGATATGTAATATGAAATTCAGATATCAAAGTTTTACATTTCAAGTGAAATAAGGGCAGCCCAATGCACAAAGCATCCTGCAGTCACACAAGATTTAGGTAAAAGTCACACGTCAAGAGGTTATAATGTAAGCAGTATAAGCATCAAAGATTTACTTTACAACTAGTATTTTAAATTGTTGGAGTGTCAAATTACATTAGAATATAATAAATAAACATCAAACTAAATATTTTGTGATTATCTTAAGGTGTTATTTCTGCTCCTTAATTTGCTTATTCACTTTCCAAAAGTTTCATAGGACAAAAAAACTGCCTAACGACCCTAAGTTCCAAGGATGAAATCCGTGGGATTTGATGTTGTAATACCCACTCAGAGAACAAAAGAAACGTAGAGGCTACTAATGATTATTGTGGCCGATGACAATAATCACAAGAAACTGCACGACGTCTTGATGGAATATTTCCATTTTGTATGGTCTTAGCAAAATGTCTCCTTTTTTCGCCTTAACACCATAGTTATTTAATATTTAAAGCTTAAAATTCTTGTTTTGTGATGGATAGTAGAAGGCTAATAATCCATTATTGTTAAAATCAATTCAATATTGATAAATTTATGCTTAAATTTTTAGTTCAAATATCGATTTAGTGATTTATTATAAAAAAGCTCAAAACTTTATTGTTTGACCTTATTGAAGAAGACAAAGTGGGTCTTTTGGATTTTGTGTTATTTGACTAAATTGGTGATTGAGGATTATTTGCATTGGTATTTGGATGCTTTGTTTCAAATTTGAGATTATTTGGAGCAAATTTATGGTTTGATCGTAATTGATGTTGCAAATTCGAAGAAAACTTTGTTAAAACAACACAGAAAAATTATGTCAAGCGGATAGACTTCGACGAATAATTTAACAGATATGTAGAATAAATATAACATAAACTCTACCAATCCGGTAGAAAAATTTTGAAGAGAAAAATCATATCAACCTGGTAGACTTGATGAACAACTTAACAAATAGGTAGAATCATATTATATTATAAGTGTAAAGACTTTTAGGTGAAGTTATTTTACCAAAATATCCTTCAAAGCTAATTGACCAAATTACCCTTCACCTAAAGTCTTTCTCCTTAGCTATCATTATTTATTCTTTAAACCACTTAATTTGTAGATATACACACCAAAATATAATTAACAAATTAGTTATGTAATCTGAATGTGACTACGCGAGAAAAAATGAAGAGACTAATTAATTGCATTAATAGTTGTTCAATTAGTATTATTTTGATGGGATGTATGTAAAGCGTATATGTTATTTAACTTTTCATTTCGTAAAGCTTGACTGTTTAATTTCTTAGATTACTTTAGATGTGATTCTTGGCCTATAAATACTTTTTTTTTTTAGAGATAGATGCCTTGGTAACTTGAAAGTTTCTTTTGTCAGTGGTTGGAGATGTGCACAGAGACTATAAGTGGCCATAGATTTCTTCTCAACTATAATTAAACTTTTATTAACATTGTAAATGGATTGGCATCTCCAGTAGAGTAGATTTGTAGGGTATAAAACTTTTTATTTATATCTTTCTTTCAGATTAACTACTTGCAGGCTTAAGTTTGGCAGCTTGCATACAAATTGCTCACTGTCGTTTTTCTCCTTTTTTGTAATTGTTGTCATTTCAATTTCGAATTGTTCTCATGGTCTATTTTATTGTTGAAGCCTTATGCTACTATGTCCCTGTGTAAGGTTTTAAAGGATCTTTTTCACATGTATTCATGATTTTGAATGTGTGAATTTTTAGAATGCACCAGCAATTGTTGTGCTTTTTTGTTGCAACTTGTTTATGTTACAAACTGAAATTCATTTGTTTTATCATCTCCATTCTGTTATCATTACAAGAATTTCTAAAATTCTGAAGAAATTCTAGCATTTATACACAAGGTTATATTTCAAGAATAACATGCTCTAGCCGTTCGAGTCTAAGTTGCAATTGCAATGTGGATTGATTATTAGCTGTGGGATTTTGATGATCCATCACTCATCTCTACCATCTTCCTTTATATATTTAGTTAAATAGGGTCCATATTAATAGTGCTTATAATTTTTCCTTGAATTTTTATTTCATGACTCAAATATATATTTTAATAATATTTTTAAAATTTTATACTAATTGATATGGATACACCTGAAGAGCAAAATTATGCCAACCTGGTAGACTTGATAAACAACTTAGCAGATAAGTAGAGTAAATATAGCATAAACTCTATCAATCTGGTACAAAAACGATGAAGAGCAATAACTGTGTGTTGGGACTATTTTTTAAATACCGCTAATTTTAGGGCCATTCGACTAAGACCAACCCTTATGGGGCCTTTCCTGTCGATCACCCCAATAATCATGAATTAATTGACATTGTTTAAGCAAGTTGAGGCATATATATAAGTGTATACGGTTAAAATCGGGCCCGCCCGATTTTACTGTTTGACCGAGATCGGGAGTTTGCATCGAAGGACAACTCCGAAATAGATCGGATCGAGGCACGAAGACAAGGTACCGAGATCGGGATTCGAGGCACCTGCCAAGATGGAGACCGACATCAATCGAGACTGAAGGAGACATGTATCGAGCAATACCGAAGATTGCGTAATAACGGAAAAGCAAGATATCCGCGACTGGTCGAAGATCATGGCGAAAATCTCGGAACAGATCGAATCAAGAACGATTGTTTAGTTAATCATGGGATTTCTTTCTGTAATTAGAATTGTACAATATATAGAATTTCTCTACTATATAAAGGAGAGTTCTAACCATTTGTAACGACGACGGATAAAAAAGTAATATAATTTTCTTCCTCGCTCACACTCTTGTTCTTCAGCTTATTGTATTCTTATTGTCCTTACATCAATCAGTTCGAGGATACTTTAACTCAAGAGTTGGGGGCTACTCAAATACTGGTTTGATTTAATTTATTATATAATTCTATCTTTAATATTTATATTTATCAATCGGTATTAAGTGAAATCACGTGTCCTTAAATCCACTTTATAAGTTTAATTGTTATCCAATTTTGAGGGTAAACAGTTTGGCGCCTACCGTGGGGCTAAGGATAATAGTGATTGCTTAACACTGATTCTGATAACACACACTACTTTACGCTTGTTCTTGTAAGTATTTTTGTTTTCAGGAAAAAGCATGTCAAACTCACAAACAACACCCACACACAGTAACAACGGTTTCGGATTTCACTGGGAAAACGACAATATAGTCGCCCCAGAAATCGAGGTGCCTCGGGCTGATCTCGAGGGAGTACCAATTGCAAATCCCATCGACGTCAGTTCACATATCGCCCTAAATACAAATTTGGGCGCTGATCCCGAAGGTAGCGTACGTAGGGAAGGTCGATCTGGTGGTCGAAGTACGCATGGCGGAGGAGATGGTGGAGTTAGCCTTCAATTGATATTTGAAATGTTACATGCTCAACAAGCTGCTATAGCACATCAACATCGAGCGCCGAGTGGGGTAGAACCTGAAGTCGTTCACAGGACTGAGCCAGTGCAGGAAAGGTCAAATGCTAATGAATCGAGGACTGACCCCGTCATTATGAAAATGTTCGAGGAGCTCACTAAACGAATTAAAACGGGAGAAAAGAAAATTGAGGCAAATGACAAGAAAGTAGAGACATATAACTCCCGGGTTGATCAAATATCGAGGGCACCGCCAATTTTGAAAGGTATGGACTCGAAGAAGTTCGTGCAGAAGTCATTCCCCCCGAGTGCAGCTCCGAAGCCCATTCCGAAGAAATTTCGCATGCCGGGAATCCCCAAGTACAATAGGACCACCTATCCAAATGAGCATGTCACCTCCTATACATGTGCGATAAAAGGAAATGATTTAGAAGATAATGAGATCGAATCGGTTCTACTAAAGAAGTTTGGAAAAACTCTATCGAAATGGGCAATGATATGGTATCACAATATACCACCTAATTCCATCGATTCCTTCGCCATGCTTGCAGACTCTTTCATAAAGACACACGCCGGAGCAATAAAGGTTGTGACTAGGAAGTCGGACCTCTTCAAGGTAAAACAGAAAGATAACGAAATGTTAAGGGAGTTTGTATATCGGTTTCAGATGGAACGTATGGAACTACCACCAGTCACAGATGATTGGATTGTTCAAGCTTTTACTCAAGGTTTGAACGATCGAAGTTCGGTGGCCTCACGACAGCTAAAGTAGAATTTAATTGAATACCCGACGGTAACCTGGGCCGATGTACATAATTGATACCAGTCGATGGTTAGGGTCGAGGATGATCAATTAGGGACTCCTTCTGGTTCCGCTTATCCGATCAGGCCCGTTGGAAGAACTCAGAGAGATATCGACAGAGAACCTCGGTCGAACAGAGACATATATCAGCCATACAATGTAGATCATAGAAACAGTAGCTCAGGACCCAATCCCATCCGAAATGATCGAAGGAACGATTGAGGACAGAGCTCTCGAGGGCTCATGAGCAAAAATGGTTTCGATAAGCGTGCTAATCCCAAAGAGGCACCACAATTATCAGAAAACAACTTCAGCATCGACGCGTCAGGTATTGTGTCAGCTATTGGGAGAATCAAAGATACTAGATAGCCCAGGCCCTTACAAACTGATCCATCCCAAAGGAACCCCAATCAAATATGTAAATACCATGGTACGCATGGTCACAGAATCGAAGACTGCAGACAACTAAGGGGGTAGGTGGCCCGTCTATTCAACAAGGGTCACCTTCGAGAGTTCTTGAGCGACCGAGCTAAAAATCATTTTAGAGACAAGGATACAGACAGAAAAAACGAGCAGGAAGAAGCACAACACGTGATTCACATGATCGTTGGTGGGATCGATATTCCACAAGGGCCTGTTTTCAAACGCACTA